GTCTTAAATTTTCTTCTATGTTTACTCTATTTTAATATATTCTTAGCAAAAAAGGTCACACGCACACTCTTCATTGTTATTTACTTTAGTAATATGATTCAATTATTTTTTTATAGTCATAAACTACAGGAGAGAGTTAAACTCCCAACATGTCACTACACAAAGAACGATATTTATTTGTATGTAGATATAGTAACATTTGAGTAAAAATTTAATAAGATATAAATCTAATATTTCGTTGATCCAAATGACAAAAATGTAAACTTACTTTAGAAACGATTGAAAAAGATTGAAACTAATAAACATAAAATCCACTTCTAGTAAAGAATTGTTCAAAAGGAAAATTACAATTGTTTTCTTCGAAATCTTCGAGATTTAGTATTTGAAAAAACGTCAATAACGTCTTCAAAGTCCACACTCTTAGTTATCACATCGCTCATTTGCGACAAGAACGTGACAAAGTAAAAATCTCAATTTATGATAAAACGCTCTTGAAAGTTTGAAATTCCTGTAACTTTTTAATTATTTTGTTTAGCCTATTCAACTCAATACAACATAACTTCAAGGTTTTTGGTTTTTGGATCAAATTGCATTCAGACCGTTTAGTTAGTTATAAAATTTATTATGATTATTTATTTAAGAAAGGGTCCTCCTTGTTGCGTTATTCTTGTAAAAAAAAACAGATATGTACCGATTTTCTTGAAAAAAAAAATTGGATAAAAATCTAAACCTTTACAAGTTATGTCGTATTGTTACGTTTTTAAATTTTAAATTTCTAAGTGTTGACAGCCCTATAATGCGCATGCGCTATATCAACTGTGTGCAGATTACAACGAATCGCGAAATACATTAATTTAATTTAATTATTTACCGATATCTTAATGATAGTCGATGCTGAAAATGTCCACTTCCTCTCTAAAGACTGAGCTAAGCACGCTCTTTTCAATGCCGGTGCATGCACGCGCCAAACACATAACATTTCACACAAAACTAAACACAATCTTCACTAAACTAAACTTAACACTCAAGACGTACACTTTAGTATCTTATTAACAAAAATTCAATTAAAAATGCACTAGAACAAAACAAAAATCGACAAAAAAGACGCTTCGCAGCGGTGCGTCGGCGGCGATGCGCATAAACACTCCAGCGTAAAAGGTCGGCGGCGACTGATCGGCCGGAAAATACCGACAGAATAATGAAGCCGCCTGGCAGCTGGTGGCCGGGTGGGGCTTTGATATCGAGGGACGAACTCGGTTCACATTTTTTTTATTCGTCTTTTGATATCACGCATTTTTAATGTTCTTTTTAAATGCTATTTTAATAACAAATTCCTCAATGTTTTTAAAACAAAGTTCATTTGTGTTAATGATGAATCGCTGGAAGATTTGTGAGTTTATCGAGTTTAATTAACGATCCCTTTGTTAAAGGAGTATTACCCCATTCAAACAATTTTTTTGGAGAACTGCTCTTTTAAAATAACGTAGGTTAATGTTAGACTGCTCTCTCTACAATAATTTAGGAAATTTTACACTCGGTTTCTTAATTAAGTATTTAAAGTTAAACGTCTCAAACTGACATCACTTAGTTTTCGTTTCCGATTTTAGTTTTTTGATGATCAGATGATAGCAGTTTGATAAAACTAGGACTATTTGACTTGTGAAATTAAAAAAACTTAGGTTATTGAGAATGAGCAGTAGAAATTTTCTACTTTTTTAAAATCAGAAACCAGCTGTTAATCTGTAAATCGATTTAAGCATTTTGACTGCCTTGTTTATTGTCTGGTAGAATTTGCATGAAAGCAGTCTTATAAATCACAAACTGATTAAAAACTTTTCCTTAGTACGTCCCAAAAACAGCTGACTCAGGGTTGAAAACACTCATTTTTTTTCAAAAACTTTGTAATTTAATATCTCCGAAACTATTTGACCTAGACCTATAATTTTTTTACGTCATATTAAAGACAAATAGTACTCTACAGGAACCTCGGGAGTGTCGGTCGTTTTGTTCCACCGAGTATATAGTCATAATTTTGTACGCGTGGTGTAGTTTCTTTGAGCAGAAATATTTTTCCCTTAGAATACTTCTTTTTTTTAAATTTATTTATGACACAAACAGTCATTTCAAATTTTATTAAATGCGAAAAAGACATTGAGTGTCACTTATTTACGTCTGTTTATCTTCAGTTTATTCTTTATTCTGTTATTAAATATTTATCTATTGTTATCAGTTGTCTAAAAAAAAATGATAATGACAAATTTCCAGGCATACTTTCATCCCCTATTTTTCGCGATAAAATGTAACCTATATCCTTTCTTAAAGTTTAGCCTATTTACTATATTAACTTCCATTAAGATGGGTTCAGTTGTTTAGGCGTCTAAGCATAACAACACTTATTTATCTTACCTTAAGTTGTCTATTCTTTTAAAACGATTCTAAAATCTAGCTAAGTATCGATACTATAACCATACGCTGATCAAATTAGAACTATACTGAGTTTGCCAAAGCATATGCAGTGATATTTACCAACTATATTAAATCATCATATAAAATATAGCATTTTATAATCTACAATAAATATCGTTTATACGTTTATTGGAAATTAACAATGTCGTCGAAATAAATATCGATTATACACAAATCGATTATTTTTTCTCAAGCCTATTCCTTATGAATTTTCCGGATTGCGGACACAGCAGTGCACAAGCGTAAACACGTTTTTCATTGCACCATCACGGACCTGAAAAAGCCGGTCCGGAATAGAGAAAAGTAAAAGACCGGACGGTAAAATTCCTGACAGTGCACAGGCTAGCATTACCTACATATGGCCTGACATATCGGACCTGAAAAAATCGGAACGCCGGACATGAAAATTCAGTGTAGTGCACAAGCGCCCTTAGGGTGTTAGAGCGCTCAGTCGGTTGTTGCGCAGCGTGCGTATGAGACATTAGTAAACGACAACGGAATTTGCGAATAGAGAAAAATGTCTTCTCAAAAGGAAAAAGAAATAATATTAAATGTAATTAAATTTTATTACTTTTTCTTATAATATATACGAGGGTCAAACTGAAAGTTCTTAGAACTGGCCACTTATAAACAATATAATAAAAAAATAATTCTAAAATTTGAAAATATAACTCTTTGCCAATATTACTGAGTATATATTTCATTCATTTGTCATTTGTTTTACGATTTGGCGGCAAATTGAAAATTGTCTGTGTCACGTCATCATGAATTTAACACGAGAAAATTTTCGTGCAATGATTTTTTATGACTTTCGATGTCATTTAAGTCAACAAGAAAGTTATGATAGACTACGATTGGCCTTTCACGATGAAGCCCCATCTCGTGCGACTGTTTACAACTGGTTTAATGAGTTTAAACGTGGTCGCACTAATCTCACTGATGATTTACGTGAGGGACGGCCTTCTACGGCGACGACTGAAGATAACATCTGTGTTGTGCGGCGTATGATAGAGACTGACAAAAGAGTGACCTATCAACAGATTCGGACAAGCTTAGGCATCGGTATGAGTCAAGTGCACAAAATCCTCCACGAACATTTAGCGGTCAGGAAGCTTTGCGCCCGGTGGATACCTCATAATTTGACTGAGGCTCAAAAACTCCATCGTGTGGATTGGTGTCGTAAAATGATTGAAAGATTTAACGGAGGTGACTCAAATGCTGTGTTCGACATACTAACAGGTGACGAAAGCTGGATTTACTGTTATGATCCTAAAACCAAAAGACAATCTGCTCAGTGGGTGTTTCCTTTCGAGGAGTTGCCAACTAAAGTGAAGAGAGATCGAAGTGCGGGAAAAAAAATGGTGGCCTCGTTCTTTGGAAGGATAGGTCATTTTGCAACAATTGTGTTAGAGGATCAAAAAACAGTTTCTGCAGAATGGTACACTACCAATTGTTTGCCACTTGTCTTGGAAAAAGTTCGAGAGAAACGACCTCGCAGTAGGATCCTCCTTCACCACGACAACGCCTCGTCGCACACCGCCAAGCGAACGATCGACTATTTGGCGACATCAAACGTTGAATTACTGGGTCACCCGCCGTATAGCCCCGACCTCGCGCCTTGTGATTTTTATTTATTTCCAAAAATTAAAGAAAAACTTAAAGGAAAGCGGTTTATGAATGCTGAAGAAGCGGTGGCTGCGTATCGCGATGCCATTGAAGAGACCCCTAAGGACGAGTGGGCAAAGTGCTTTTCCCAGTGGTTCCATCGCATGCAGCGGTGTATTGACGTGAATGGACAATATTTTGAAAAGATATAATAAAACTAATAACTGGCTAATGTAATCAGTTTTTGATTTTCTAAGAACTTTCAGTTTGACCCTCGTATATGATATAATGTTTTAAACATTTCCAGATAGCCCTGCATGTGTCTGGTACAATTTTTGATAGCAGGGGTTCTGATATCAATAATTTTAGCGAAATTGAAAATTTATAATTATGTATTCTTAATTTTTTATAAATGACAATAATAAAAACTAATGCTCCTCCTTTCTATTATTGTTGTGCCCGACAGGGTCCACAGTGAGACTAACTTAATTATATAACATTATTTTATATTACCTATGGAAACAATTAACTTATTGAGTATGCATTTCCCGTTGCTAAAAATTTTAAGGCTACAGCACAGCTAACCGCTGTTTTGCGCTTACACTAGTTCTAAATAGTGATATTGTTTTTTTTTTATATAAGGTATGACTAAGTTTAATATATGATCAAATTGTGCAGAACTCATGCTGAAGTAGTTCAAACACGTTTGCATGCCAACTGAGTTCGGCGCTTATATCCTAGTAATACAGATGGATAGTAATATGAATAAGTTGTCATCGGACTCGAACCTTTTCGAACACAAAGACACAACTCCACCAAGCAGATTTTCTGTCTTACAAAGCCAAAAAAGAAAAAGAGAAGCTGATTACGATGCCGATTTTAATGCCGACAGCAAAATGACGACTTTAAGAAAATATTTCCAGCAATAGAAGATATTAAGAAAGTGAATAATAACATAGAGAGTTCAATAAACTTTCTGACAGAATAAAAGAAAGATCTTAAATGGAAGTTAGAATAGTTAGAAATACAAGGTGGACTAGACAAAGACTATATTACTTTATGGAAGACAAAATTGAGGATCTACAGCGGGGTATTCGAAAAGCAAACATAGAAATTAAAAATGTGCCTAAAAAACCGCATGAGGACAAGCATGATCTAGTGAAAATGGTAGTAAAGTTATCGGAAACTATAGACTGTCAAATAAACAAAAACGATATTAAAGACATTTATCGAGTGCAAGTAAAGTATAAGAAAGATAAACACAACACGAATTTACCAATAGTTGTAGAGTTATCGTCTACCATTCAAAAAACGGATTTTTTGAAAATGGCATTGTCTTTTAATATAAGACACAAGGAGAAATTACGTGCTTAACATCTAGGTTATACTACTATTGAAAATGTACCTATTTATACCACTGAACAGTAGGGATGCCCAAAAAAATAATTTGTATCGATATGAGACGGTGTAGCGTACGGGTTTTGGTGGGTAGGCCTCTGGGGACCCACTGTGCAGCTCACTATCGGGTTCACGGAGGAGAATCCGATAGTCAGAAACTTTTCCACGACGTTAAAAAAGATAGATTCACGTCAACTGAAGTTAAGAACGTAAATACAACGCGATTTATATATTTTTTTCTCTTATTACTATTTTTACGTTAATACTATTTTTGTTTTTTTTTAACATACAAATTTTCTGTAAAAATTTGCTGTAGATACGTACTTCAAAGTTGGTATTTTCAATCTTCGCCGGAAATAATGGTTTATTCATTGGTCACAGCTCATATAATATTACGCGAGTCTGAGGATCGGTTCAGAGTAGCTCGGTGGCGTAGTGAATAAACGCCATGGCTCGCGATTGTAGTGTTAAGCAACTTTCGCAAAGGTGACCAAAAAAATATTATCTCAAGCAACTCCAAGCTTTGGAAGGCACGTAAAGCGATTGGTCCCGGTTGTATTTGCAGTTGTTAATATCCTCCAATTCGCATCGGGCCAGCATGGAGGGTCATGGCCCATCCTCCTTAATCCATAAGGTTCTTGTACTTGGTGACGTAAAAGGGCTGATGATGACGATGAGGCCCGTTCAAATCTGACGGAAGCTCAGTTAAGCGCCTTTCGGAAGTATGTGTTAGTAGACGATTTCCTTTGAGTGTGGAAAGTCGAAATTAAATATGTATATATTTTTTTATATCGCTCGGTCTCGGGAGACACCTGAAAAACGTGAAGCGTATTTAACTTCCCATCGCCAGGCTCATGCAATATAAAGTTGAATTGGCATTTACCGTCAGGGACAATCTCTTGAGCTCTCGGAGAATTCATACAACAAGCGTTTGATCTCAGGAAACTTCTGAAGATCGCATTACGTAGTTTGGTATGAATATGAAACTTCCTTTGATAGAGAAATGCCCTTGGTCTCTGAAAGAGCTCGCAGTTTGCACAATAGAGATCGAGAAAATAGTTTCGATTATCGCCAACCCGTGTTGCCTTCATACTCCACAGGCGTACCGCAGATAAGTTTTCACAAGGTATAATGAACTAGCTGTTTTCCCCCGACTTTGCCGCAAAATTATAGCCTATGACATCCGTGAACAAACAACCAAGTCTTTCCTGTTTATAATATTAGTATATCTTAGGTATAAGAGGTCCGATGGCGTAGTGGGTTAGCGCATTCGGTTTGAATTGCAGTGAAATAAATAAGTAAAATACTGCACAACAAGGACATACATGAATACTTATTTTACATAACTAAGTACAAACGACAAACTCATCGCTAGCAAGCGATTTCTTCCAGGTAACCTAGCATTACATAGAAATAGAACAATAAATAGCCGATTGTGCATACTACAAGACAAATAATATTAATTTTAATAAAACAAAAACAAAAGAAGGACAGTTTAAATGTACGAATAAAATTCTCAGACCCAAGCGACAACCAAAGCGCGAGAAACGAGAAAAAAACAGAAAAATTACATTCGTAATGACAGGATGGGTGACCAAAACATTATTATCTTGAGCACTGTGCACAACACTGGCACAATGCACGTTAAGCCGTTAGTCCTGGCTGCATCAGCAACGTTAACACCCACCGCTCCGCATTAAGCCCGCATAGTGGGTTATGGCTCATTGATCTTATTCGATTCGACTCCATACATAGGAATAAAAGAATTCTACCAAAATACTTCCCACGCAGACGAAGTTGCGGGCACAGCTATTTTTCAAATAAAAATGTATGACACGAAAACATGTTCAAATATCACGTTTAATTTTTACCTTTAATACATAAATATTAACATATATTCATAAATAATGTTTTATTACCCTTTTTTTTGTTTTATTTCCTCGCAAAAAGCATTGAAAAATGTTGTAAGAAACTTGAGCGTAAAAGGTTTTTCGAATTCGTGCCAATGAAAACCCTCGCTACGCTCGTGTTTTCAATTTGGCCCTTAGTCGTAAAATCTTAATTTCCAAACTCGTATCTTAAATAACTATTATAGACGAGCGAAAACTCCTTGCTCTAACATAACCAAGTTTCTTTAGCATTTTTTGCTTCAGCAACTAATGGGTAAATTTTCTCCTCAACGCTGAGGCATATTAGAGCCATATTACATCGCAACTGTGATTTCTGCGTGATTTTTCTCGGAAACAAAAACAAATTAACAATTTTGACTTGTCGAATAGTGAAGAATAACTCTTGGTATAGAAATTAGTGGCTCAACTTTTTGGAAATTTTGCTCATCTTTTTAATTAAATCCAAAATACCAGAGAAAGTTTTTCATAAAATGCGCAAAGACACTTTTTTGAAGTCCTGGATTGAGCTACTGTTCTTAACAAACGAAATAAAAGAAATAGAATGATATCTCTTATATAGTCGTAAAGTAAACAGTAGCTCGAAATTTTGAAATAGCACTGATTAAATATAGAAAAACAATTATATTACAAACCAAAAAACATCAAAAATTGCTTGAAGTTAACTTTGAATTTCTCTTAGCCACAACAATATTATTTAACAAAATTTATGCCAGATTAATGACTATTTCATAAGGAACAAAGTTATCATAATTTTAAAGGATAAATTTATTATATTATTTCAATAAATACGATAAAGGTAAACGCAAAATCACTACAAAATAAGATGCAGCGGCCGTCTGAGCTCAGTACCGCGCGAGCGCTCCTCAACGTTAGACCTGTGTCGCATTTCTTCGCGCCATTTTTCGATCTAGATACGTTCGAACGAACGTAAATAGAGCAGTATAGTGGGACTTCCAACTTTGGTCGCGAAGTTCGATTTATATGGAATTTATATAGCTTATTGAATTATTTCTAATACACATTTGTTATTTTCAGCATAGGTCGAAAGACCCCTAGGTATATTTGTATAAGAAAGTTAAAATATATATTTATATTATGAAATGCAAATAAAGCAAGGTACTTCTTCTCTCAATACACTTATACTAGTACATAAAATTGGAGTGCATATTTGTAATATTAAAATAACCGCTTTTCACTAAATACATTTGTGTGTATACATGGTACATATACAAAAATAATATATTTTATCTGTCTGTCTGTTAGATCTGGCTAATCTCTGAAACGGCTTGGCCGATTTTGAAGAGACTTTCACTAGAAGTTGATTTACGTAATGAGGATTAACTTAGACTTATGGCTCGATGCAATTCGACCGATATCAAATTTATCGGAGATCCGCATATGAAACAACTTTTTCTAAATTCAATATATTTTTAATCCCGGACGCAAAAACGACGCGGTGTTATAAGTTTGACATGTCTCTGTGTATGTGTGTGTGGTGTGTTTGTGTCTTTTTGTGGCATCATAGTTCCCGAACGGATGAACCCATTTTGATTTTGGTTAAAAGGTGTATTAGTCGGGAGTGTTCTTCACTTTGATGAAAATCGATACAAGATGGCCGCCGCCACAAAATGTCGGATCACATATTTTATCACCATTCCATCAATATGGGTATCAAATAAGAGGGCTTGAGTAGTAGAATACTGAACACTATGACAAATTTCAAATCCAAGATGGCCGCCACCAAAAATGTTGGATTACCTACATATTTTTCACGACTCCCTCAATACGGACATTAAATAAAAGGGCTCGAGTAGTAGAATACTGTTTACTATGACAAAATTTTATATACAAGATGGCCGCCGCCACAAAATGTTGGATTATCTATTTATTTATTTATTTATTTTGTACACACATACAATTTCATATGAACAAATGTAACAGACATTAGTACAAGGGCACTGCTTATTTCAAATTGAAATTTCTACCAGCAGGCCCAAAACAGGAAAAAGAAATACAATAAGGTAGTCAGTGTGTACCTCCTAAATAAATTAATATGAAATAAAAAAAACAAATTCAAATACCGGGAAAGAGAGAAAATAAAAATACATAACGGTTCAAACATTATATAAATAATAATATATATATCTATAATATATAAAGATTAATAATACCTACACTATTCAATATCAACAACACGAAAGATAATGATCCTTTACTCTTTTTTGAACACAGAAATAGTGCGACTGTCACGTATATCGGCAGGCAAAGAGTTCCAGAGTCTAGCAGCATGAACAGTGAAGGAATATGAAGCAAAATCCGTTTTGTGTGAAGGAATTTCAAGTCTTAAGGTGGGATCTGCTAAGAGCATCAGGAGAACGGAGAACGGAGAAAGGAGAAACGCTCACGCAGATAGGAAGGATAGACGGGATTATACAGGATATTGAACAGAAGACAGACAATCCTGACATATCTACGCTGACGAATGGGAAGCCACATGAGCTGCTTACGTAAATGTGACACATGATCATACTTACGAAGACCATAAATAAATCTAATCGCTAGATTTTGAAGTCGTTCAAGTTTGTTTAATAACTCCTCAGTGGCATCCAAGTAACATGCATCTGCATAGTCAAGAAGAGGTATAATTAAGGATTGTGCTAGTAACACTTTAGTTTTAAAAGGTAAAAAGTTTTGAAGGCATTTAAGTGTGTGAAATGAGAAGAAGGTCCTACGACTAACCTCAGATACATGGGCAGTCCATGATAGATTTGAATCCATTGTAATTCCAAGATTTTTTACAGTGTCTGTTAACTCGATCTGAGTCCCATCCAAAAGCAGGGGTGGTAAAGATAATGCAGAAATAGAATTAATATTAAACCTGCTACCTATCACAATGGCCTGAGATTTACTTGGGTTAAGCATGAGGCCAAACGATTTTGCCCGAGTACTAATGCGATCCAAATCGTTATTAATAGCTACCAGTGCCGAGTTAGAGTCTTCTATTTTAAAGTGTCGATAAAGCTGCAAGTCGTCTGCATAGAGGTGGAAGTTGGAAGATAGAGTTTGGCAAGCGAAACGTGACACCACCTATTTTTCCGTTTTCATATGGCAACAACATAGAACTGTCAGTTTGACACTACG